TATATATATATATATATAATGATTAAGATCAGTCGGAAGATTCACAATGGTAGAATGATTATTTAATATCTTAGAGTTGCACAAAAATCTAACACATACTCAGGTTGTTAAAGAGTAGCATGAGAAGACAGCTTAACTTTTTAATTTTTTTATGTGGAAAACCATGAAATGAGGAAAAAAAAACTTAGGGGTTCGACCAAGTTGAAATAATTTACTATATAACAATGAGTATACATGCCCACCCATCTCCTGAGTTATGGAAAATGAAATCACAAAGTTCATGTAAGATGATATTTCAGTAATAATAGTCATAACGGGTCGTGAAGGTCATAGTCAATTGTTATGGAGGCAGTAGTCTGTTGTGAATGTTGTGGACGATGGTTATAGTGCCAACTAGTCGTAAAATTTGTAGTTGAAAGCTATGGTTGTAGTTGTCATAGGTGTCGTAGATGGTTGTTTCAAAGGGTTGATATGTCACAGAGGCCATAGAGATACACAAACATTCATAGACTGCAGAGATCAGATTTGGGAGTTATGTAAGTTGTGAAAATTTTTATAGGCCGGAGTTGAGAGCTGCCACAACTGAGATATTGTTTGTAGGCCGCAGAGGCGTAGTTGGGAGCTACATGAGCTGTGATAATTTTTATAGGTTGCAGTTGACTGAGTTAAGAGCTGCATGAGCTGTGATAATTCTTGTCGGCTACAGTTGATTGAGTCGGGAGCTGCATGAGCTATGATAAAACTTGTAGGATATAGAGTCTGGAGTTAGGAGCAGTATGAGCTGAGATAACGTTCGTCGGCCACAAAGGCTGAGGTTGGGAACTATTTAAGCTATGATAACGTTCGTAAGCTGTAAAGATTGAAGTTGGAAGATGCATGGGCTTTGATTACCTTCTTAGGCTAGAGGAGGCGGATTTGAGAGATGCTTAAGCTATGATAATATTCGTAGGCCGCAGAGGCCTGATTTAAAGGTTTTATCAGCATTGGACCTTGCTGATCATAGTTGGTCACGTAGTTCGTAATGATGAGTTACAATGAGAGAGTCTCAAGAGTCTGAAGAAAGTCAATGTTTAGAATATCACGTTTGCAATTAGTTATTGAGGAGTGCATTGTTTCACCATCTTTGAGATGCTTTACTCCATAGGATGTTTTTTTACTTCGCAACATTGGTTGATACTTTGCACAACACTTCATTACTCTGCAATATAGGTTTTTTGTTTAACAAGGTGATTTGTTACTATGCAATAGACACTGAGATTCCTTAGTGTACACGATGATTTTGCAATGGGCTTCGTTGCAACAAGTAGTGGGTGGCAGGTAGTTGGTAACGACAACCAATGAATGATAGTCGATGGTGGTCAGCAGCAATAGGAGTGGGAAGCATTCGCTAGAACTTCGGTGTAGAATGCTAGACTTCAACTCCTCCAAGTTCTGAGCTTCATTTGGTTTAAGGTCGACGTCTACTTTCATGGAATAGGGTAGGACACTATTTATGGAGTTTGAGAAAGACCTCGTGATAATTATGAAAGAATTCAAACCATCCCCTCAATCGAATGCCGTTCCATAGACATTTGAATTCCTTAGCAATGTTGGAATTGATTGATCATGAGTTGGATTGTCTTACCAAGACACTAGAGTTTACTATAAGCTAGTACCTCCAGAAGTGGTTTATGACTCGATTTAAGCTTGATTTGACTCAGTTTGGACCAACTTTAGTGTCATTATGTTGCTCTCATCGAGTCAAACAATTTGATTATAAACTTGTCGAAATCGGCGTTATGGATAATCTTTTATTGATAATTAAACGTTTATTGCTAAAAATTACTTCAAGATTCATGACATACCTCAAGAGCCATACCAGATGATGAAATTTTTTCGACTTAAAAACTTTTGGTGTCATTACTAGTTCTCTCTCTTTTGAGTATGTGTTGATTATTCATGTCACGCTAAGACGATAATCAATTACTCTATCGCTGCAAATTTTCTAGCACGCATCAATTTTGTCACCTTTTTTTTTTCCGTGCTTATTCAAATTGAACGAATTTGATGAGATCATTAATCCCATCAACTATCTCAACAACTAGCTTTATTACATAAATTATGGCCTCTCTCAACCACATAAGATATGATTCAACTTTAACATCACTAGCCCTTTGCCGGTCGATTACTTTATTTCTCACTTGTCTCTCCAACAAATGACTCATGTCGTTTGATAACGCTCGAGTTTCATCACACAAATGCCATCCGAGCTCATCTTTTTTTGCTTCCGACACATACATTTTTTGCAAATTGAACGCATTCTATTCATTGTCATAGAAATCAACTAAACGTGCTAATGCCCAATTCTATTATCTCATTTGGACCAAACCCAAAAACCAATCTTTATCAATCTATCAATACTAACGCTCCATCTCTTAAAGTCAACATCAATCGTATATTCTATTACTAGTTTTTCTTCCTCTTTTGAATGAAAGGTAATGATTTTGTTAAAAGATTACGAGCAGGTCGGAAGTGGTGGACCAAGATGGGAAACGTGAGCTTGCAAACCATAACAAAAGTCTATGATCATTAATTGAGGTATGGAATTCGGTGTAGCGGCGAGGCATTTGAAGGGATAACATAAGACGTAACTTTGAGTCAACTGAAAATTAAATACATATTAATTTAGATTTTTTTTTTTATGTTGAAAAAAGAAAATACATATGGAGTGTAGGAGTGTAAACGAGCTGAACACGAGCTGAGCCTGGAGTGTAGGGGTGTAAATTTTATATTTCGAGCTAAAAAAGTGTGTTTGTGTTCGACTCGTTTGTTTGACGACCCTATTCACATATCCATAAGATGTTAAGGATTGGGGCAAGATTTAATATATCATTTGAATTTAAATCAATAATTTTTATTTTATTTTCTTCATTAATACTTTTAATTGATTATAAATTTTTGTAGCTTCGTAGTCAATTAAATTTTTTAATAGTATATAATTTAATTGATTAGTAGTATTTCGAGTCAAAACGAGCCGAACACGAATGAATAAATATTTGTTCGTGTTGTTCGTGTTTAGCTCATTGAGTTAGCGAATAAGTCAAACACGAGTTTCTTAATAAATCAAACACGAGTTTCTTAATAAATCAAACACGAATTATTTGCGAACAAGGAACCGTTTTCACAGCCGTAATCGGGTGTGATGGCGCGGGGAACGCCGAAGTCCGGTGTTTTCTGCTCTTGAAAATGGCTTTTTTTGGCGATTGTTGAGAATCATTTCCAATTCACATGGTAAGTACTACATCCACTTAATTAACTGCTGAATAGTCTAGTCCTTAGCTCATTGATATCTGTAGCGGACAACTATTCTCTTACACATGAGAAAATATTTAATATGATCAATTACGGGGCATTTCATAGCAATAAATCTCATCTGCGGGAGATGGGATGTCCCATGAGTCGCTAGTCGTGACATGTTGGTAGAGCAGCTTTTTAGAAGGTCGTAAGTTCCCCCAGGTCACAGGTTCAAATCTCCCTTTGGTCAGTTTGTTGGTAGTGAGGGCGGTCCTCAAATAGTGTTAACATCTGTTAAGTCAGCTCTGAGTCCACTGGGGTTGGGGGTTCGATCTCTCTGGTGTGCGGATTAGTCGAAAGGTTAGACACATGTGGTTGGGTGGGAGCTTGTCTCGTAGCCTCTAGACAATATTTTTTAAATATGTATGTATGTATGTATGTATATATATGTATATATAGTCGTGGTTTGTTGGTAAAGCAGTCTCTTTGAATGTCATATGTCCTCTTAGGCCACGAGTTTGAATCCTTCTCTTGCCAGCTTGTCAGTAGTCAAGACGGTTCTAAAATAGTTAGACACATGAG